GTAGCGTATTAAACTCTCGCAAGTATACCGAACGTCTTGAAAACGTCTTAGACCTATTTCGGAAGATCTTAAATTCGCGTCAGTTTTTAGACTTTCTTATTTATCATTTCATTTTAATTACTTGGTATACGTTTGTCTGTTTGGATAATTTAATCTGGTATATGTTTGTTTTTAATATGCATATATTTATAGGTATATACACGTATATGTATGTGTTTTGCTTTTTTAATGCTTTTGTATTTTACACGATATACAAAATTGTAAATAAAATTTTATCTTAAATATTCTGACATAATTAAATCACCTATGTGGATCTTATAAGGGACAATCTCGATTTGTACAACAAGTTAGTGAAAAATCTTGATATCAGTAAAAGTTGAATGTATAAGATGTAAATTAAGAAAAAAGGCGAGCCCGTATAGATCGTAGGTTCCAAGAAATTTAATGTTCTCTTATGAAGAAAAGATTTGTAAACAGTATTCTGAAACATCTCGATGTCAGCTATAAAAATATGCTAGGAAAAATAAAGTTCCGTTTATAATTTTTGTGTTGACCTTAAAAACACTTTCCAAGATCATTTCAAAGTCAAATTATCATCCGATAATTTTCTTAAAACCCTATTACTTTTGTTTCAAACATTTTTTAAATAAATCAATATTTTTTAATATATAGCCGTTCGAGAACTTTTACCATGCACTATAATATCAAATTTCTTAGAATCTACGATCTATATGATTTTGCTTTTTTTTTTAATTTTAATCTTATGCTGTCAATTTTTACTGAAATCGAGGATTTTCACTAACTTATACAAACCGAGATGATCCCTTAGTACATACATGAAATCGTATCGCGATTTTGATGCGGACTGTACATATATTATATATATTATATGTATTATATTACATGTATTATATATTACATATATCTACTATATATAATATAGTATATGCCAGAATCGGCATTTGATTCTGCGATTGTATATTATATATAGTCCAAATACATCAAAGAGACGATAATACGAGTACGTTCTGTACGTACTAAGATCCATGGATGATTTAATTATGTCAAAATATATAAGATTTTATTTACAATTTTGTATACAATTTTGTAAAATACAAAAGCATTTAAAAAAGCAAAACACAAACTCTGATGATCAGATAAATTCAACCAACTGCTTCTAGCAAATTAACTTTCTATATGTATAATTTATCATCTCTAATCTTTCTTCCCAAAAATCAAATAAAAGCTTTTACGAAGCAAAGTTGCATTTGCAATGCGATTGATTAATCGATGAATTAAAACATTTGCTTAAAATTTAATAGCTTTATTCAAATTAATGAAATTATTACGTAAGACAAATAATTACTTTACAAATTAATCATTGATTCAATTGATGATTCGAGTTTGATCGAAATCGTCCTTATAATTAAAATCACTACATGGCAAAAAGTGCAGGGACACCTTGTGCACATTATGTGTTACACATTTCCGTTACGAAGAGGCCAAAGCCTGCGGATAGGCAACCGACCAGATGTCTCATTGCACTACGAGAGATTAACGTAAGCCAGCCGGGGTTGATTCGCGTCGATACTTGTAAATGCATTACAGACCAGGTGGAATTAACATCACGTAGTGCGTGGCGTGCATGCACTCATGCAGTTGATGCATTATAGAGACGTATTGATTATATTCTCATTTTCTATTATGTTGCAGGCAGCAACGAATTAACGCGATAAATGTACTGGAATCTGTGTGTTTTTTTCAGATTTCTCTTCTTAAAAAGCTTCCTCTCTTTGAGAATTAAAAGAAATTGAAGATTACGATTCGTTAACGGAGAGAATTTTATCGATATTTTTATTAATTCATTTCTTGACGTTTTCAACAAGAATATTGAAACTTGTCTTTTTTTAAATACTTATTTGGATAAAATTAAATTATATAACTATGTACATGCAAATATATATATATATATACAAAAACGCTATTGCAAAAACTAATTTCTGTTACTCTCATAGCAATCATACAACTACAGTTCTAGTGGCGGCAAATCATGACTTGTAGCGGGAATAATTGTATACAAATATATTGTGGCCAAAAATTTTCTTTTCGAATCCATTACAAACAAAAAAAGGATTTCTTTAAATTAATTTCAATTTAACTCTGTAAGAAGTACTTTTATCGAGTTCTTTTTTTTTGTTAATTGTCGGAAAGAAATTCTTTTTAAATTCATTTCGAACAAATTATGTTAATTCGTAAAGAAGTCGAGAAAATGTACGTTTTTCGAGTTTAAATGGATCAGTTATGCTATCTAGGTGTGAGTTGCGAAAATGGGCTTAGTTACAGAATCAAAATATAGGAGATTGAAGGGGAATTCTTTTTTAAATACTAATGTTATTTATATAATAGTCGATTCTTGTATTTAATTTAATTTTAAGCATATATATTTGTACATATTTAAAACAGTAATTGGTAATTAATACGATATGGTTTTGGAGCGCCAAATGGCTCGACACTCATTGATTCGCGATCTATGGATCCTCCAGGTTTGATCCCACGCTCCGAATACGTGGATTTTTCGCCATTCGGATTCGATCGGCATTAAAAACTGTAGGTTCCCTCGAGTGCTGTAACAAAACTCTAAAGAGTCAAGTAAGAGTCAAACACATTTTAAAATTGTAACACAATTAAATTATTTTGTACAGCGATTTTCGTGAAATGTAAATGTCTGAAGAGGGCTCAATCCGGTAGCCGAAACTTGTAATATTTGTGTTTTAAACTTGTTTTAATTTTTATTTTTCTTTATTTGTAATATATTCTATTTAATTGTGTTACAATTTTAAAATGTGTTTGATTCTTACTTTGCCCTTTATTTATTGTTATTTATTTTGTATATGAAGAGTCCTTCTATCTGTTAAATGATCTAAAAAGTGCGTAAGAATGCAACTACTCGATATACAATAATATCAAAAAAAATTTTCATATCCCATGCAGACATTTAAATCTTTCATGAAGGATTGTTACAATGGCTGACTTAAATCATGTTTACCTTTCGAGCGACTGTAACAAACAATCTTCATGAAAGCAGTGTCCACATGTAGTGTGTAAATATTTTTTTATTTGATAGTATGTTTTTGTATTTGATAGGTAGTTGCATTCTTACTCTTTAGAGTTTGTCAACACTCGAAGGAACCTATAGTTTAACGCCGAATCCGAATGGCGGGATCGAACTGGGATCCACAGATCTCGCACTGCGGCGAGCCAAACCCAAGCAGAACAACAAGTCATTAGGATATCAAAATGATGCCAAAATGACTTCAAAATGATCATTAAAAATCATTTTTCAATTTCCGATTTATCTTAATATCATTTTGACGTTGTCATGACTTGTTGTTCTGCTTGAGAAACCATATCGTTAGTTACCAATTACTGTTTTAAATATGTATAAATGTAATGCTGTCTTAACATTAAACTATATACAAGAATCGACTTATATACATATCGGCCTATTAGTGTTTAAAAAATTCCCCTTCAATCCCCTATAATCCGATTCTATAACTACCCAAATAGAACACGGAGTCATAATTAAGTCAAAATGATATCACAAAACGTCATCATGACGTCGTCATTTGATACGTAAAAATTGACTTATAAGTGACGAATGAGATCATGATGTCCTCATGATTTCTATGTTCTAGTTGGGTATAATAGGCTCATTTCCGCGACTCACGCCCAGATAGCACAAATGATTCAATTAAACTCGAAAAAAATTTATTTTCTTGATTCCTTTATGAATTAGCATAATTTGTTCGAAATGAACTTAAAAAAAAACTCCTTTCCGACAATTAACAAAGGACTCCATAAAAGTACTTCTTTTCAGAGTTAAATTCAAGTTAATTTAAAGGAATCTTTTTTTGCTTGTAATAGATTAAAAAAAAATTCATTTTTGGCTCGATCACAATATATTCTACAAGTCATGATCTGCCGCCACTAGAATTGTACCGTAATTGAGTGATTGCTATGAGCGTAGTAGAAATTAGTTTTTGCAATAGTTTTGTATACATACAAAAAATATACATACAAAATATTATATTACATTTATATGCATTCATATGCTTATATAATTATATGTGTTTAAATATAAAAATAAAATTTAATTTGAATAAAAAATGAAGTAAGACTTATTCTTAAAAATTAAGAAATATGTGAATGAATAGAAATATGTATTCCAGCAAAAAATATGAAAATGATTTGAATCCATAATATGAACCAATGGCTGCATTCAGCAGACAAAGCATATATATATATATATTATTTGAATCCAGTTAGTAAAATGTTAATAATTTTCCTGAAAATTATTAATAAATTATTGAAAAATTGAATCAAAAATGTCAGCAAATTATAGCTAAGTAATTATTTTCTCGCAGCTTGCTGATAAAGTTTAAGTGAGAGCAAATTATCAGGAAAAACCATATATAGTGTAAGAATCCTTTCCATCGATAGAAACCAAGCAAAGGTCGATTGTTAATTTACTGTTAGGTTGTCAGTAAGCTGGTTTTTGTCGATAATTTGGTTAGCAGATTTTGTTGTATATTTGCTACCAATTTGTTGATACTGAATATATAATATAACAGAATTTGCATGAAATATTGATGTCTTTTTGATGAAAAAATTTGTAGCAGCGTTTGACAAAATTTGTTTTCGACAGACTCAACTGACTGAGAAGCTGTTTATTGATATTAATTTCGAATATTTCAATATTAATTTTGAGACAAACGTCTAAATACTTTATATATCATTTGTTGATCTTTTGGATAATTTAAATCAAAATATGATCATTTAGAAATCAGAGTTGAATTGAGCAAATTTATATTATTTTGTTAATCAGGATAAAATTATTGTTTCACACATGTGGGGAAAGAAACACAATTAGAATCGTTGTTGATTTATCAGAAAGTTCATTTGATCGTTACATCGATCATGCAATGTCGCATTTAACCCTAACCTGATCTTACTCCAATAATCTAACCTTAAACTCGTGACTGTGAAGATTGTAAGAAAAAGATACAGAAAAAGAATTAATAATTTCCTTTGTCTTTACAATTAGCATCATGAATTCTTTATCAAAAATTGTTCGTGGGTATGTAATGAACTATAATTCATTTAATTTTGTTCACATACGTAGATCAATTACTTTTTTAAGTGAAATTGTTAAATAATTGTTTAAGTGAAACTTTGTTATACATATGATATACGATGAGAGTACTCGAAACACTTATTTAAGAATATACATTTGTTTTTAAAAACAGTTCTAAAAGGATACTTAATCTTCTGTCTTGCATCATTGTTTTCCACTCATCTGTACCATAGGTCTTTCATACCAGTACCAATTTTCTCCTACTAAATTAGTTGTGAAAAGTCGGAAACATTGTTTTATATCTTTACTTTCTAAATGTTTTTGAACTCACATATTATATTGTTTTCTTTTTATACAGAGGAAAACTTTAATTGTTGAAATTTTGACTGTCCCCTAAAAGATACATGTGAAACATGTGGTTAATGGTGATTGAGTATAGTAAGTCAATAATTTTATTCATATTTGGAATATTTATAGGAAATTGTACCAGGAGTTGATTGTACGATTGCAGTCAACAACCACAACGTCAGCCTCATTCTCAGACATTCAAATTCCAAACAGGATAGAACGAGGTCCAACAGATATCTTGAAGGTAAATAAAATTATTCTTTTAAACATCTGAAAGTGAAAGTAAATTTGTTTGAATGATGCTTCTACAAATGTGTCATTCAATTTGTTTTATAGGCTTTGGAAAGTACGATATCCAGAGATTATACGGCGCCACATTATAAGTTTCATGATGACCCTTACTTGATACCTCAATCAAGCGCGCATAATCGTTCATACGCTTTAGCAAAAGAGTCTGGAAGGAAAACTGCAATGTGGGTTCGTGAGGAACATCACGATTTATTTCAGCATAAAGTAGCAGATCCTGAAATTAAGGTCATCAATCAAACATAAATTAAATCCTTTTTGTTTGCTCGTTCATATAATATCAATAATGTTTTTTATTAATATTTAGTTAACATGTTATATCATATTATTTGTGTGTTTTGCAGGCATTTGTACCACTTCCCATTTATACCGAAGAAAGTAAAGTAACAGAGGAAACATTATTATATGAAATATCAAATGGTAATGTTGTTAATTGTATCACGATATACGATCTATTAAAAGGTGAGATGACAATACCAACGAAACAGGCACTCTTGGAATTGTTATGTTTTTACAATAATGAACGAACCGACGAATGGCTAGAGACTCGTTGGTTTAAAATCGATCAAAAACGTAAAAAGAATGCTTGGCAGTGAGTATGAAAATTGAATATACGTTTTCTTTCCTTTGCCGATGAATATGTATTTTCTTTACTCTTAAAATAATACTTTATATTTTATCGTGGTTTACAGAAATTACTCACAAATCAATGTACTATTCGAATTTCTGAAGGAACAAGAACCCAAAATAGCAGCTGCTGCGTACACCGCGATGATATGTGGTTTGGCTAAATGTTTCAGTGTAAGATAACTCTTCATAAGTGTAACTTATTAATTAATTACTATTAATTAACAACTATTAATTAAAAAGAATTTAAAAAGTAACTCGCTACTTCTTAAAAGGGATATTTGAAATATAATAACACGACAAAAAGAAGAAAAAAGGAAAATTAAAGTCTATCTGATGATTGGATAATTTTACAATAAATGTACGTTTTAATTCAAAATTAGGACTCTCTTCAGCAGATGTAAACGATTAAAATCAGAATTACGCTCAATCAGTGAATAAATTAGTTAAATTATTTAATCTATTTGCTGTCGACTACACACTTTTGGTTCTAATTTGCCTTTTTCTTATTTTACATCTTAGAGCTTTATTATTATAAATTTCAACAAAAATTTGATATTAGATCATTTAAAAAGTATCCGCGGTTTTTTGTTCAATTTTTGAATGAAAAAAACCGCGAATACTTTTTAAATGACCCAATATAATCTTTTAGCCGGACAAGGCTTGGCACTTTTATGATGAAAGTCAAAGAAAAAATATATCGTTATCTGTTGATGGATACAATGCTATGATATCATTAATACCAATGCAAGGAGAGGATTTTAAATTAAAATCATCAGTAACTGATATTTATAGAGCAATGATTATAAACGGAATCACTCCAAACATACATACCTTTAATGCCGCTCTTAATATAGCAACTACTTTAAAAACCAATCAAGTAGCTCTAGGTTTTACACGCAAGATACTCGCTGATATTACAAAATTCAAACTGAAGCCGTCGTTAACTACATATTATTATCTGCTGAAAATTTTAAATAGATTCGGTAATTATATATTCTCTTACATTGCAAAGATACATTATATTCATGAATATTTACGAGTTTATTCGCTGAAACAGGTGATATGTCATATAACAGCTTTATAAAAATTTTGACGTCTTTGAAGAATGAAACCATTACTATTCAAAATGAGAAAGATTTAAATTTCTTCGTTACCGCAATGGAAATGGCGTCCCAGCAGTTCTGTGATCGTCAAGCAGGTGAAATGGTGAATGAGCTTCTTCTTACCGGTGAAAATTACAAGTTTATCAATAACAATATAAGAGTAAGTTTCTTAAATCCTCAACACATAGCATCTATCTAGAAAACACATGCCATGAGCTAATCTTGTTTTCTTGTAATTAATAAATCTTGTTTTCTTGTAATAAAATATGAAAATTATACATGAAGAGTGAAATTAATATCATTCTTTTTATATATAAAATCTCTTAAGAGGATATTTTAGTGGACTCTTTCAGTGGATATTTTAATAGCATCATTTAGATAGGATTTATGATGTTTATCGAGAGTTAACATATTTAAAGTAATTTTTTAAAATAAAAAAACCTGAATTTTTTCATTACATAATATTATGTAGTCTGCAGCTATTCTTAAAATTATGCTAATGATCGATAATTATGTATTTATATTAAGCATTTATATTATGCTTATATCTTTCCTTAGGAACATATCTATTACCGAATGTATTTGGAATTAATTTTGGCAACGGAAGAATTTGAGACATTCTTCAAGCTCTACAGCAAACTTGTACCGCATGTGACTATACCGGAACCTGCCGTGATGAGTGCTATATTAGAAGCTCTTAAATTACATCCCGCGCAGACTGCCACGCAATATATACCAAAACTGTGGTCGCACATGATCATGTTCGGTCATCTGAACAGGGAAGAGTTATTGGAGAACATATTGCACTTGATGAGCGTACATTGTAAACCTGTGTCTGATTCTCCATTAAATGCGCAATTCACAGAGATGGCAGTGATTATCTGGGATCATATACAAGTAATTAAAATCATTTTTAATTATAGAATATTTCATAATTTGTATTATTTATTAGAGTATTTCATAATTTAATAATAGATTCTATGATAAATTTAGAAGTCTTTGAGACTTCATATATTTGTCCATATATAATATTAATATCTTCCGAATTATGTATTATGATTGAGGAAGAAGAAACACCAAGTTCTTTTCAAATTAAATCGGGAATCTATTGAAATTTAAGTTTCAAATTATTATCTTATTTTTATGATCAAATCAAATATATTCAAATCACATCAAATATATTAAAATAATATATATGATTGTCTTTTTTAAAAACACAGACTCAAAATTCTAAAAGGCTACAACACGTCTTGGTATCTAACACAATAATGGGCAATATTATACTGTTGTTGCTACGTGGAAATAATTTTACTAAAACGATAGAAATTATATCGTTATTAGTTCGTTCACCAAACTTGATTAAGAATGGTCAAACCATTACAACAAAGCATATAAACGAAATATTCGAACTGTGTTTAGCACAAGCATATGTGCCGGTAATTTTCGTAAGTATATATACATTTTTTTTTACTTTCTTACATTCTTATCAATTGTTTTATTATAATATCCTTGCAATTTGCTTCTAGACACTTTTGGAGTACGTCACTTTCCATAGTTTAGAAGGAGCCGGGGAAATGGTTGAAAAGTTATACAAAACTGTATCCCTTACCCCCAATCAGAAAAATATATTGACTAGTTTAGTAGGTATCGATGTTCTCCAATTACAGATCTCTGATGAGAATTAGTCTTCGAAATAAAGTCTGTATTATAAAATATAGAAAATATAGAAACCTTTTTGAGAATATTTATGTATTATTTATATAATATTCTCCTTTATTGTACAAAACTGTAATATTAATTTGAAAGAAAGTTTTCTATTATCGTTATTCCATATATCGCGCGACGAACCCGCGCCACGTTTTGAAGAATCAAGCGGGGAATTTAAACGATGAGACATATGATTGACATGTATCAATGTCCTTGTCTTTTAAAGTTGGGGGGCGTAAATCATTAATGAATTAAGTCAGTAACGGTGGGAGACAGCAACCCTCCAATCGCTCCAGTCGCTCAAATACCCATTTCCTGAGTCAGTCGGTACAACTCTGATCTATCGTGAAGTATAGGATGTTAAAGTCGATTCCATTCGAAAAAATCAAAAAGATATCGGAATCATTGTCGTAAAGATCGGCCAGATCCGTAAGGATGATGGATAACAGCGGCGATAGTAGCAATAGACTCATGCTTGATGATATCCGTGAATTAATTACCGAAGATGAGCCCAACGTAGAGATTGATAGTTTGGAAGAAGAACCAGGATCGGGACGAGGAGATAACTATACTTCGATGTTGTATCGGATTCGGGCAAAGGGGCGCAAATTGTTAAAAAACGACGAATACATTAATTATGAGTGTGCTATCATTTACAAGATATTGCCGGAATCCAAGAAACGTCGTGAGGCATTTAAAAGCGAGTTACTGTTCAGGAATGAAGTCGTGTTTTATAAATATGTATGGCCCGCGCTGAATAGGCTGCAATCGAACAATAGAAGAGTATTCAGCGGAGTACCCAAGATATATGCTGCTAGAACCAATCTTATTGCCATGGAAGATTTGAGACAGAGAGGTTTTAAAATGGCAGACAGACGGAAAGGATTAAAAGTGGAGAATTTAGAGCATGTGTTGAAGGCTCTAGCAGGCTTTCATGCGCTTAGCTTGACATTAAAAGAATCCAGGTAAATATGTTCGATTAATTAAATGTAGATATAATAAATATTCTGAATAATTCGAAACAATTTATCAAGTTTTTCTAGAAGTAGACTTCTATGTAAAATATTTAAGAATCATTGAAAATATGATAAAAAGAAATGTCCTTTTTTATATATGTACTTTATTTCGGTATCCTCTTTGGTTTTAATGTAAAAAAATGTTACTTTTTAAAGGCCAGAAGAATTCGCGAATTTAACGAATTCAGAACATGATCGAGCTATAAAAGAAACGTTATTTCGACGAGATAACGAAGATTGGTACCGTCAGTATTATCGCGTTGCCGTAAATAATGCCATCATGATGGTGTCTGAAGCACTTCCTTCGCACATGGACTATAGAAGACAGGAAGTAATGACAAAGTTGCAAGCTTTCCTAAACGAAGACGTATTTTTTCGCACTATGAGCGAACTCGTCTCCGCGCAAGGACCTCTCTCCGTATTTTGTCATGGTGATTGTTGGACTAATAATTTCCTCTTTCAGGATGAACCAAGCTCAGATACAGAGGTAAATATTTTATTTTGTAAGAAAAGTAAATTAGAAAAGCGCAATACACATTGCATGTCTGATAATATCTACAATAAAAGGTCGCATGTATTCAGTAAAAGATGATTACCGTCAAATGGTGATAATCATCTTTTTTTTTTTCAGATCATTTACGTGAAATAACGAAACGAGAAACCACTCTCTTTTGTTGTTCCATACATTTTTATTATATAAATTTATAAGATTCTTATATGATTTAAATGTTTCTTCCATTTGCGATCTTATTAAAAAGACTCCGGCTCAATGAAAGTGATCACACCTAGATTCATGTAGCCGGTCATAAAGATTCTTGCATTATGTATAATTACATCTAATTAAGATAAATAAATAGACAATTAAAGATAATAAACGTCGACTTTTAGAAAAATCGATATTTAATTATCTTTAATTATCTATTTGTAAAACACATAATGCCCGAAAGTTAAAAAAAATCCGAAAAATGTATAATATACAACAATTGACATATTCGTACTTAATTCTTTTTCAATCATTTAAGTTTTTTATCCATTGGGCAAAATCATTGGACAAATTCAGACGACCATTTAAAACATGCAAATAAATATGATGCAAGAATATTTATCCCTCATTACGATCTATAAATCACATTCGAGATTGACAATGTTAGCTGTCACGAATGTGAAATGCGTCTCACTGCGAAACCTTCTAGACTTGATTTTTAATACTGTGCTTCTGCAGGCCGTTTATCTAGTTGATTTTCAACTGACGCGGGTCGGTTCACTCGCTCTTGATCTTGCGAACTTGCTATACTGCTGCACGAGTGGTGTTGTTAGGCGGGCTTACATGACACAGCTTCTCCAACACTATCATTCTCATCTGATGTCCTTCTTGTGCATCCTAAATCCAGAACAGCCGCCAAAAGATCCATCTATCATGTGGGAATTGTAAGTAAATCGTCGAGATTCAATCATGTGTATAACAAAACTATAATAAATTCATTGCTTACACTTTATAAGTAATTTATTATTTAATCGAAAAGCTTATATACAAATCTAATATCAATTTTTTTTTTTGAAAAACGGATATGTTGTAAGTTTAAAAATATAAGATAGTTTGACTACCTTTTTAATATTGTTGTCTATTTAACGATTCTAGATTAAAAGAAGAGATGAGGAGATGTGGACGTTTCGGATTGGGATTGGCGTTGGACATTTTACCGATTAGTACATGTGCCAGTGACGAAGCACCGAATCTGTATGAAACAAGTAACACGGAAACTAGCGAGGAAAAACATAATACTGCAGGAACACCACCACCCGGAGGCGCCGAATGTGCCCGACTCATGACTGATTTAGTATTGGAATTGATAGATAACGAAGCTTTGTAGATAAGATTTCACATTGATTGACAATGATGTATTTAATAATATGTATAATATTTATCAAGTGTGTAAGTCTTTTACAACTCTCGTAATGTTGTTACATGAAAAAAAAGGTGATTTCGTTCCGCGAGAAATCTTCCTTTTTTTTACATAGTTGTGAAGATAATTTCTTCCCACATACGATTCCCATATTGAATACGTAATAGAAATTAAAAATATATATAAAGAAACTTCTGCAAACTATTTATTCCTCTCTAAAGGCACGAAAATGTTTCGAAATCGCGCATAAATTATTTTGTATATGTAATCGTGGAAATTAAATTTGGAGATGAATAAAAAAACAAATAAATAAAAAAACAAATAAAAACGAAAAAACGAGGAAGATTGAAGAAACAACATTAATAATGTATTATATAATTTGTAAAAGTTTTTGATTTATTTAACTACTACATATTTAAAGATTTAAACTCACGAAAGAGTTATGTCTGCTGCGGAGGCGTGTGCGGTGGTGGCTGTTGTTGCGGTTGAGCCTGCGGACTTGGCGGTTGTTGCTGCTGCTGCTGTGCACCGGGCGGTTGCCATGGTGGATGTTGTTGATTTTGTTGCTGTTGCTGTTGCTGTTGTTGCTGTTGTTCTTGAGCCAATCGTTGGTGGGCCTGCTGTCGCGCCCTGAATTCGGCTGCCTTCAACTGCTCGAGATGGAACTGCTGTCGCTCGGTGATGAGTTGCTGCCGTTGATACTCAAGACCCTCGCGTTCACGTTCCATCGTAGTTTCCAATTCCTCGAAGTGACGCAGCTTGATTTCTAGCTTTTTCATTTGCGTCTCGACTAATAACGCGACCAATGACTTGATTTTACGTTCCTCCACAGCTGCTAAATGTTTGGCCTTAACAGCCGCAGCCGCTAACGCTGCCGCCGCTGCAGATTGAAGCTGAGCGTCTCTTACAACCTGTAAAAAAAATTAAGTTTAAACCCATGGTATTTTATCACTTATTTAAAAATTTTGATATTTTCTTTTTTATAACGTGCAAATTAATTCATGTCACTGTGATATCTACTTTATCCTTCTTTTCTTTTGCTTCAGCAGCTTCTGGATCAGTGATGGACTTTGTATCCTCTTCGCCCTCTTTTGTTTCGTCCTCTTTCTTGGTGACTTCTATCTGAGATGGTTCAACATCCATAGCGTCTTTAGATTTATCTTGATCTTCTTTCTTTTCAGGAGTAGGAGCTGTGGAATGAGGAGAGCTAGCCGCACCCGCCGGTACGGACGGGGTCGCGGTAGAAGCTGATGTATCGTCAGGTGGTTCAGGTGGTCCTGTACCAGCGATGCCCGATTGTGCCAAACCAGCCGATGGATCATATTTACCTATATAAAAATGAAGAATTGATATTTATTATCTACTTAACAATTATTATGTGTGCATTACCTTAAAATTAAGTTATAAATTTTTAATTTATAATATAGTTAGAAGAATTACCGTCGGAACTGGCACTAGCTTGAACGTTTCTTAAATGCTGATCCAATAAAGCAGCTGGTACTTGATCCTTTATTGCGGCAAATTCTTCCATAGCTGCCTTTGCTGCGCTCGCGGCTACTCTAGGGTCCACGACTGACGCAAGGAAGGCGACTGTACTCATAACAGGATTACCAGCTTTCGAGAATGGTACGGGTTGGTAAGCCAAAGGACCCAATCCTTCGGGCCCGCCTTCTTCCAGATATGGATCCTCTATAGGTAAACGTAAGAAATGCAAGATACACTCGTCTTGCGTTCTCGAACCCACATGTTCGCATACTTTGTTCCAGTCGTCCTTGTGCAATTCTAATCCTTCCAATAGTAGAAGTGTTTCCTGTTCTGTCCAATCACGCGTGGCACCTGCCGCTTGCTTGTTCTTCAGTACTGCTGGTTTCCTCGAATACTGGTCGATTTTCAGACCGAAGTTTGCCATTGCGCCCGCCGAAGCCTTTTCTTCTGTACCTAGGGCACCCGTTATATTCGGTTTTTTCTCCAAGTCGAGCAACATCTTCGCAGCGGATGGTTGTGGTGTTTTCGGCGGATTCGGATTGACTGGTGCCAAACCGGATGGCGTGTCCGACAGAACGTGGAAATGTGATGTTGGTGGAGGTCCCATTGGTGTCGGTCTGGATTCTGCGTCTACCTGATAGTTAATGAGTCCCCATTGCTCTAAAAATGCGTGCACACGCATAATCGCGCATACATCTCCGGCTAAATTCCGCCTGTAAAAATGCTTTCATACATAAAAGGAAACCATCTTTTTTATTTTTATATTTAACAAAAATTATAATTTTACATACATTATTAAATGTAAATTAAATATATTACATGTATTACCTGCACGCGGTCGATGTAATATATTCAGTTGGATTTAATCGATAGGTATCGATCATAAAATTCCGATAAGCAAGATAAATTTCCGGAGTCTTGGATTTATTTTTACCGTTAAAGAATTCTGATAGAGCCCGCTTCTCTATAGTATGAATCGAATTATAATCAAACCAGGCAGAGTAGCTAGGAACAACGATATGATGCGTTTGTTCCGTCACATTATCTTCCGGTTCATCACCTTTGCCACCTTCACCTCTTTCTTTACTAGTGTCTCTTTCTTCTCTATCTTGACCACCTTGAGAGCTTCCTTTGTCTCCTACGATATCGACAGCTTTTAATTCAGGATTTATTAAATTAACATTTAACTTGAAAATTTTTTTAATTATTGATCTGACGTTAAATATGTTTATCGCGTTATGATATTACATTACTGATCCAAGTTTCATTATCTAAATTTCTTTGTATACCTTCCATTTGTTCATCAAGATCGGTCAAGTTGCCAGATTTAAGAGGTTGAAGCTCGCTGTCTTGCTTTTTACTACCAGTAGATGCCAATGTGGAGTTACCCGTTGTTGCATTACCCTGACCTGTGATTGGTGGATTCGTGGGCGTAGCAACCACCTCGACAATACGAGGTTCAGCGGGCGGATCCTCCATTCCCTGAGTCAAATCTTCCTCTTCTTCACCGCCGCGCGATTTCTTCGGAACCGTTGCTGATGATGCGGAGGAAGCACTTTGGATACCTGACGGTGCTCTGCTACTAAAAACGATAACGTACAAATTCGAAGATAAGCAAAGTTCTGTGTATAATTTGAATTTACTATCAGAGATGTCCATACCTCTTACGTTTGCCGAGTTTTGGAGGTGGGCTGGGCGATCGTTTCCTCTTAGGTTTCTTCGCAGGTGGTGGATGAGACGGTTGTGCCATCAAATCTTCCACCGAAAGCCTGTATTTGTGTACTCTTTTCTGACCATTATCATCTACCTCATAATCTTCTTCGTTCATCCATTCATTATATTGATCCAAATCTAACGCCCATGTAGCCGATACTTTATACATTGATCTAGAAAAAGATTACATTTATTTAATATATTAATTTAACATTTACATATGAATTAAATACATAAGTAGAAATATTTTGCCAACAACGCTTTCAACACATTATACTGATAAACGATATCAATTAATTTGAATTATTAATTTCCACCAATTATAATATTTACATTAAAAGATTATGAATATTTAAGCACCTTGAATTTGTGTTTGTATAAGTTCCTTCGGGATAGTCCCATGGAAGATCCAGTGTTGACCAGGAATCATAGCTGTCTGGAAAGTAGTACCAATGAATTAGAACCGATCGTTCGCGTCTCATACAAGGTCGTGCGTATTCCTCTTCCATCGGATCTACTGGAGGATAGATAATGTGTGTAGCATCTGTCTCATTCTCCACGACAGTACCCTGATGCTTTCTAACTACATCTTTTACTTTTGCAGCTGTATTTTTGTCAACATCCGGTCTCACGAAAATACTTGGTACAGTCATACATCTATTCTGTATTAAAGCACGTTCCGCCGCCATTAGCATATCCACTGTACGATCCATACGGGACCCTGACTGTAATAATAATAATTGATTAATCAATGAAATACTTGTTTATGCAACTTTTATAGACAAGAATATCAACATTATACATAAAAAAAGATATTTCTTTGCAAGAGGAAAATCAAAACGCCTCCATCCTTGCTCCTGTTTAAAACGATAAGCAGTAGCTAATATGTGACACACACCACCACCAGGCTTAAAATCTAGGAAGCATTTCATCTGCAAAAATTAAACTCGTCAATAATTAATTCAGATATAACAATGTTATTTATGTTTTACGTTTTATCAATGTTTTATTAGTTACATAATACATATATTTTACATACTGGAAGTCTAGTCATAGGTGGCTTTGATACATTTTTGCCAAGATTATCCTCCTGAAATTGCAGAATCTGTACCAGCAACGTGGCTAAGCTCTTATTAGTGGGCGGATCCGTTTGTACATACTATAAGAAATCATAAATAAAATTATGAAATTATGAAAATTATGAAATTACTCATATAATGTAATACTAAAAATTAATAATACAAAAATTTATATGTAAATACTATTCTTTTATCATCCAGTGTACATTTTGTTGAGTTCTCATTTATTACTTTTCTCTAAAAATTATATATATATATGTATGTATATGTGTATATATATATATATGTATAGTGAAAGTAATAAATTGAATTGATATATTTATCTATTAAGAAATATATATACTGATTTTATACATACTTTTACTGTACATACATATGCTTACATACAGCAATAAGCGATAAATAAACAGTTATAAACAGTAATAAATTTTACAAATATGTAGTCATCAGGATGATTTTCACGTCCGCGTCAGTGCTATAAAATATATTAGGACATTTTTCGAGAATCTTGATAAAATTTATTTTCTCAAGGATTTTATCTCTAAAAAATACAGATTATTGACATGAAAAACTGCGATCAGCGATAATACGTGTCGCGAAAGAGAAAGCAAAGCCGCACGAAGGTACCGCAATGAGTTTATGACGCCGGGTGGTATCCATGTTCGCACAAACGAGCATACCTTCTTGCAGTTCTTGAGCAGCCACTGCTTAACACCATCAAGCTGGGTAAGAACTTCTGGCGCTTCGAAGAATTTGGCGTTAGGTCCGCCGTCCTTTTTCGGGCCTAGCGACAGCATTTTTCATAGAATCCCGACGACGAAACGCGACGATTTCGATCACGATGCAACGCACCGAGCGCAAACATGACACGCCTCTGAAGTTGGCTGTGAATGCACTGGGCGCACGTCCATCGCAGCGAAAAACACGTTATCGATGATAAAACAGTAGTGTGCGATATTAATTATGTACGGCGAAATTCTACTAACAGACGCGCAATGATTCTACAATATCGCAACACCTATTTTACAAATGCAAATTTGAATAAATATCGGACAATGACTTGATTCGCGTGACGCGATGGTTGGTAGATGCGTTCTAAAACATGGCTGCCGTGTGAGTATATATAATCGGTCCAACCGACGTGAACTTAGCCGCTATTAGGTATAGATATACAATACATACAATATACATGAGAGACATAAGATGAGCTGATGCGCGATGCATTCTAAACTAATCGAATTTTCCAAAATAAGAGGATTTTAGGATAACAGCATATGAGAAAATGTGAACAGCCCAAGTCAAATGTGCTCGAACAATAAGTGAATCGATTAATCACACTCCAGAATTATTGAAAACGTAAGATCATTTTGAACTTTCGGTTGATTGGTTGAATCGCTTGGTTATGTTTTTTTGTATGTCGTGACTTGTGACTCTTTAGAGTAATTTTGATCAAACTCCAACTTAATATATATCTATATAATATATATAATATATATAATATATATCTCAGTGATTAATTTAATCGCTTAAAACCAAATTTCTGACTGTGTTAGTTATAATTAGTTTTAATTTAATTTCTTATCTATATGTTGAATAAAACAAGATCTGTTCTTTTTAACTCAACTTCTTGCGTTGTTCACTTTTTCTCTTTTTAAATTAATCGAAGATGGTTAACCAGCCCTTAATTGTGATTGATAATTACTGCAATTAAAACAATTGCTTTGCTCTGATTGATTGAAAAGTAATCACCAATCACAATCGCGCAATTGCTAGTACTACGGCTCAACATTTTTTATTGGAAAAACTAGTGCAACATTAGTGCACTCTGAGTGTAGTTAAACGTAAATTAATTTACAAATTATTAGTATTAATAAATAATTTATAATATATTCTTTATAGTTCTGATAACATTAAATGGATCAAATTATTTATCAACCAAGTTAAAACCGATTTACACTAAATTCATATCAAACTATAGTTTTCCCAATGGAAAATGCTATCAAACTACGGATTGACAATTACAGATTGACAATTGGTTTTATTTCAATCATAATGTAAAATTGTGTCCATGGTGCTAAACCTCGGACAGGCTAGATACAACCCTAACAGCACAAAGACTTTAAGTCGACTGTGAGTTCTGAGTTCTTAGAATTAAATAGTAAATATATATTTATACATATATACATATATACATATATATATATATATATATATATATATATATATGTCCGTAACAATTGAGTCTGTTGAACACATCATTGACTGCGTCTGGTGGACTCAACAATCGAATGAGCACTCGCTGTTATTGGTTTATTTTTCTAGAATTATCCAATCAAATCGTTCGATCTAGAAGAATACATCAATCCGATGAATACATCCATTTTTGCGACGGGACACTGTTTATGACTGCCATTTGCAGCGCGACGCATAAAGGCCATTACATATATAAAAATTGTAATCGTAATCGTAAGGTCTCAAGCAAATCATAATCAAAATTGCGATCTCATGTTTTAAAATTTTTGATTATGATTGCCCGATTTGCTTGCGGCCTTACGATAAAAATATTTGTGCGTGTGATGGCCTTAAACCACAATAGAAGAGTTCAAATTGATAAGGCAGCTAGGTCGCCGAGCAATTAAACATGATTGGTTGGATCCACAAGAAAGAACCAATGAAAAATCCATCATGCTCGTTCGTTCGGCAAATATGCTTACTAGCCGTTTTGTCGGCTTGAACGCGTCCAATAAGAGAACGACGGTTACGATCGATCCGTTCGTTGCTCAAGAGAAATAACTCCGACGGAGCGAGAAACGCTGGCTAACCTTGAGAGAAACCAAGCCTATTTTTAATTACAAGCTCGTTTCTTCGCTCGTTTTTATGTCACGTCGAGATACATGGAACGCCGGATCGATTTGTATCGCAATTTTTTCTTTTAAGTATTATAAAATATAAAATATAAATACGTAAAAAATAATACACGTTTTTATTTAACATCAATTATACTTTCTTATCACTTTCGCTTACGTACAATCGATATAATTATGATATTTATGCGATTTCTTTCTTTCGTACAATTAATTTTTATCATTATTAACGAAATTTTTAAATAGTGTCTTCCTAGCTAAAGAAGGTCCAATGTTATTGAATAAATACAAATTTGATTGCTCGCTATTGTACATTGAACTCGTTCGCGCGCATTGTGTCAAAATGTCGATAATTATTGTATAATTTGCAATTCTGTGCGCGAGAGAAAAAGAACGGAAGAAAAAAGAATGAGATAGCTTCACTGTGTTACCAAGCTGACGGTGTAATGCACAAAGGAAACAAGAATATTTTATTCGTAATTATTTTCCTTTGAGATTTAAATATTTATAGATTATTTTTTTACATTCATTTTGGATAAATGCTTCGTATTGTTTTTGTTCAAATTTTTTTTCGTTCTAAACAACAAATGGAAAAATGTTAAATAATAAAAAATATAACAATTAATATAAATAATATAATTTTGTGTTGTATATAATACAATATATGTATTATTATGCATATATTATTTATATATTTGTATATATAATAATTTAAATCTGTATATTTGTACATGTAGATATATTAATTATATTAATTATTAATAATATTATAATTTGTTAATTATATTAATAAAACGCTACGAATTAATTCCAACACCTAATAATTTTAATATTGCTTCGGGTGCTTCCGATATTCACTATCAGTGCTAGAAATTATACAGTATACGTTACGTGGACTATAGATTTTCAATACTGGCAGTGAATATCGAAACGCATTCTATATAAGCAGCTGCAGTTAATCCAACACGTTGATTTTTTTTAACGCTACTTAAATTTTTTCGTGTGCCGTGACCCTAATTGAGAATCTCGAGAAAGAAAAGGAAAAATATAGAGTACAGAAGCGATTTGCTGTATCAACTGATAATAATAGCGGAGATAATGTTTGAAGCGCTCCGTGATGTTGCGCCACTATGTCGGTCGATGCGCGGTTGCGCGGACTGAACTGGTCGTTGCTGGTCGCACGCGAGACGCCATATTGAGAGGGGTTGCAAGTGTCGAGTCCGAATTTCGAACCTCTGAACGTCCGAACAAATCCGAATGCGTGACCTGTGGTGTTTACGCGGTTCCGGGTAAAGGCCGTGATACAGTTTCGCATCGATTCCGTGGCCGTTGCCTGGAACACGGTGCATCGGTGTGACACTGAAACGGGCGTAGTGGCGCTGTCATGAGCGGCAGCGACGGCGAGGACGGTCGACTCGAAAAGAGCACCACCACCACCGCCGCCACCACCGTCGCCACCATCACTGGGAAAAGGGACATAATCGAAGTGATGAGTGACGACGGCGGTTCGACAGCGACGGTGATGAAACGGCACTGCAACGACGTCATCGCCGTCGACAGCTGCACCGATTCCGCCTGGACGTGCCGGGACACGGATACACCGAGCGACCACGAGAATGGGGACGCCCGCGTGTTCCCCGCGGTCGCGGACTATGATCCCACTGGGGTACGTTGTCCTCGTTCTGACGTTTTGCGTGAACCGAATGTGGTCGGCGATGTGATCGAGCGATTTAATTTCAATAAAATAATCTTTATAATTTAAAGACCGACGCGCTCGCGTGTTGTAACCTGAAATCTCTGTCAAAAGAGAATTGTTACCTTCTTGAAGTAAAAAATTTTATTGCAAACTCAGTCAGCTGTGAAAATTTTCCTTTTCAAGAATTTAATATGTTATCTGTTGATATAATTTTAATATTATACATGTACATAGGTGATATATTATCCACACGAAAACAAATGTTCATGTTATTTCCTTGTCAGTTATTCTGAATTAGTTGATTCATGAATTCTGAATAGTTGGAATTAATATCTTAGCAGACTCTGAATAATGTATCAATTAGTACTTTGAAAGAAATTTAAATGACACAGTTGACAAAATAAAATAATTATATTACTAACAAAGACAAGTATCTTATTTATGTAACAATAAATATTTCATATTATTAAATTGTTTTTACAACAATCTATTATACATAATAATACTTCAGACATGAATAGACATAGATAGAGAGACCTAATCTCTTTAGAGTAAAAATTCTTAATAATAATTTTTTAATATTTATACTGTTAACAAGGATCTTGATTGATATTACTAATTAAATGGTCAACTTTCACACTGCTTTCTTGCGGATACAGATTATATTGCATAAATAAGTTTACTCCATTAAATACTTTCTTTATAGTGTGGGACGACTGATCAGCGTGTGATTGATGCGTTTATTAGAGGTGCAAGAGCGGCTGATGAAGATCGTCGTAAGTCGTCTTTAGTAAGCACCGATGCACTTGCCAAGCTGTACTCCTCTGCATGCTCCTGTGATAATACAGCTGACTACAAAGCTAAACGGTAAAGTCACCAATCAGAATCTCAAGAAGAAGTGAGAGAAGCAAGAATGTGACATTAATTGAAAGTATCTTATGTATGTGCAGAGACATGTTCAGAGAGGAGCTGCAAAAGGCTATGAATTTCCAAAATCTATGGACAGAATTACGGCAGTACATACGTACTGATTTTAACGTTGCTTTAGAAACTCATACATATAACTCTCCACAATCTCATCGTGGCAAATTCACTAACGATATGCACAATACTGTTATTCAGTAAGAAATTTTTACATATTGAAATTCTTTGCACCATTATTGTTACGTGAATTGTTATGTAATAGTTTCTTTCATTATAGATTATGTAAAAGAGATTCTCATCAACTTTTCATGAGATTAGTGAGCCAAGCGCAAGAGTTTGTGATAGAAGTAAAAATTCGTTTGTTTGCTCTTCTACACGATCGTAGCGTGAATTTAGCTGAAATTTTTCTTACTGGTTAGTACTACTTTTTGTAAACATAAATTTCAAAATATCACGATAGATGTAAAGTTTATCTGGATTTCTCTTTACAATACAGGTCTCTTGAATGACTATGATGCTCTCGTATCGACAGCGATTATAATTTCTGAATTAGTAAAACCATTAAAAAAGTGCCTCAACTTCAATTTGACGTGGGACTGCTTTATCAAAAAGTTATATCAGATTTATGTATATAATGACGCTTTAGTGCAAAACAATTTACCTACGTTTATTGGCCAGGTAAAATATTCTGTTTTACTGAAGAAACATCCATGGCGTTTGCGACTTGGTAAAGCTAAACGTGCACGTTTGCATTTTTAGTTGAGAAAACTTCTACCATTGAAAGGCTCCAAATACCAAACTCTCGTTCATAGATATTTATCTTTCGATGACGAAATGACGAGAATCGGTAATTTATGGCCTGAGACAGAGCCATGGATGGATAAATATAAGTAAGTTGAAGAACATTATACTATTTACGTCATTATTTCCAACATCTTGATAGAATTGGATAATAAAAAGATCG